GAGAGATATTACTAGATTATATAGAGGATACACTAAGAGAGATTATTATATATTATATATTGAGAGATAGTATATATTGAGATGTAGTATATAGATAGGGTATATAAGATATATTAGATAGAGAGAGCTAGTTTATAGAGGATATAGGATATATAGGAGATTAGATATATAGATTAGTAGAGATATATATAGAATAGATAATATGGATATAGATAGATTATATATGATAGATATAGAGAGTAGATATATAATATATATAGACATATAGATTACATAGGAGAGTAGATAGTATAGAGAGATATAGATATGAGATGATTAGATATATATATATATATATATATAGATATCTATGAAATATCTATATATATAGATAATATAAGATATACTTGTATAATTAGAGATATCGGACTAGTGGATAGATATATAATATATAGTAATAGAGAGAGTAATGATATAGATATATATATAGATATATAGATATATATTCTATATTATAATAGTATATATAATATAGTATATATATATATTACTATATATTATATATATAATATAGAATATATCTATTATATTATAATATATATATTATATATAGATATATATATTAAATAATATATATAAATATATATATATATCTATAAAGATATATATATATTATATGTGTGTGTTTGGAGTGGTATTTATGTATCTCTTAATATATATGTTTGGTATATATGTTTGTGTATTATGTTTGTGTATATAGTTGTGTATATAGTGTGTGTATATATGTTTGGTATATATGTCTTGTGTATATATGTTGTGAATAGGTATATATATGTAGTATATATGTATATATATGTATATTATATGTTACATACTGTATATATATGTATATATATGTATATATATGTATATAATGTATTATATATGTATATATATGTATATATATGTATATATATTATATATATGTATATATATGTATATATATGTATATATATGATATATATGCCAATATATGCATATATAGAATATATATGCATCTATATGTATATAATATATATATATATATATATATATATATATATATATTATATATATCTATATACATATGTTATAGGAATATATATGTACGTTTATATATATGTATGTCTATATTTAAATATATATATATTCTCTCTCTCTCTCTCTCTCTCTCTCCCCTCTCTATCTCTCTCTCTCTCTCTCTCTCCTCTCTCTCTCTCGTTCTCTTATATATATACTATTAATTAATATATATATATAGATAAGATAGATATATATGTATATGAATAGATATTAAGTTTATATATATGTGTCTATATTAAAATAATATATTTACCTATAGATATATAAGATATAATATATAGAATAATATATAATATATATATATCATATAATATGGATAGAAATATAGTATGTACTGTTTATATTATATGTATGTTATATTTAAATATATATTATTTACCTATATTATAATATCTGTATATATATATCTATATATATATATATATAGAATATATATATATATATATATATATTTAGGTGGTGGTGTTGTGTGTGTGGTGGGGTGTTGTGTGGTGTGTTTGTGGTGGTTGGTGTGCTGTCGTATATATAGAGACAGACAGACAGAGACAGAGACAGAGAGATAGGTAGAATTAGAGATGAACAGGGAGGGAATGGAGGAGAGGGAGAGAAAGGGGGTGGGCAGTGAGTGAGAGAAAGAGGGTGAGATAGAGAATAAGAGAAAGAGGGTGAGAAAGAGAGTAAGAGAAAGAGAGGATAAGAGAAAGAGAGGATAAGAGAAAGAGAGGATAAGAGAAAGAGAGGATAAGAGAAAGAGAGGATAAGAGAAAGAGAGGATAAGAGAAAGAGAGGGTAAGAGAAAGAGAGGGTAAGAGAAAGAGAGGGTAAGAGAAAGAGGGGGAAAGAGAGGGAAGAGAAAGAGTGGGAAAGAGATGGAAAAAGAAAGAGGAGGAAAGAGAGGGTAAGAGAAAGAGGGGGAAAGAGAGGGAAAGAGAAAGAGGGGGAAAGAGAAGGAAAGAGAGAGAGGGGGATAAAGAAGGGAAAAAGAGATAGGGGGAAAGAGCGGGAAAGAGGAAGAGGGGGAAAGAGAAGGAAAGAGAGAGAAGGGGGAAAGAGAGGAAAGAGAAAATGGGGAAAGAGAGGGAAAGAGAAAAAAATGGGGGAAAGAGAGGGTTAAGAGAGGAAAGAGAAAGAGGGGGAAAGAGAAGAAAGAGAGAGAGAGGGGGAAAGAGAGGGAAAGAGGAAAAAAATGGGGGAAAGAGAGGGAAATGAGAAAATGGGGGAAAGAGTAAGGAAAAGAGAAAGAGGGGGAAAGAGAGGGAAAGAGAAAGAGGGGGGAAAGAGAGGGAAAAGAAATGGGGGAAGAGAGGAAAGAGAAAGGAGGGGGAAAGAGAGGGAAAGAGAAAATGGGGGAAAGAGAGGGTTAAGAGAGGAAAGAGAAAGAGGGGGAAAGAGAAGGAAAGAGAGGAGAGAGGTGAAAGAGAGGGAAAAGAGAAAATGGGGGAAAGAGAGGTGGTGTAAAGAGAAAATGGGGGAAAGAGAGGGAAAGAGAAAGAGGGGGAAAGAGAGGGAAAGAGAAAAGAGGGGGAAAGGAGGGGAAAGAGAAAATGGGGCAAGAGAGGGAAGGAAAGAGAAAGAGGGGGGGAAAGAGAGGGAAAGAGAAAGAGGGAGAGAGAGAATAAGAGGAGAGAGGGAGAGAGGACAAGAGGGAGAGCGAATAAGAGGGAGGCGAATAAGAGAGATAGAGAGATAAGAGAGAGAGAGGAATAATGGAGAGAGAGGAGAAGAATAAGAGAGAGAGAGAGAAACGGAGAGAGAGAGAGAATCAGAGAGAGAGGACGGAGAGAGAGAGAATAAGAGAGAGAGAGAGAATAAAGAGAGAGAGAGAGAATAACGAGAGAGG